GGGTCTCGGCTAGTACTGTGTTGTAGGTAGTCTCGGCTAGTACGTGTTGAGGTATCTCGGCTGTACAGTGTTGTAGGTAGTCTGGTAGTCGTGTTGTAGGTGTCTCGGCTAGTACTGTTGTAGGTGTTCGGTAGTATGTTGTGGTAGTCTCGGCTAGTGCTGTGTTGTGGTAGTCTCGGCTAGGCGGGTTTTGTAGGTAGTCTCGGCTAGTGCTGTTTTGTAGGTAGTCTGGTAGTGCTGTTTGTGGGTGTTTTCGCTAGTGCTGTGTTGTAGGTAGTCTCAGCTGTACTGTGTTGTAAGGTAGTCTCACTGGTACTGTGTGTAGGTTTAGCTCAGCTGGTACTGTGTTGTAGGTAGTCTCAGCTGGTACTGTGTTGTAGGTAGTCTCAGCTGGTACTGTGTTGTAGGTAGTCTCAGCTGGTACTGTGTTGTAGGTAGTCTCAGCTGGTACTGTGTTGTAGGTAGTTCAGCTGGTATTTGTGTTGTAGGTAGTCTCAGCTGGTACTGTGTTGTAGGTAGTCTCAGCTGGTACTGTGTTGCAGGTAGTCTCAGCTGGTACTGTGTTGCAGGTAGTCTCAGCTGGTACTGTGTTGCAGGTAGTCTCAGCTGGTACTGTTGTTGAGGTAGTCTCATGGTACGTGTTGCAGGTAGTCTCAACTGGTACTGTGTTGAGGTAGTCCACTGGTTACTGTGTTGCAGGTAGTCTCAACTGGTACTGTGTTGCAGGTAGTCTCAACTGGTACTGTGTTGCAGGTAGTCTCAACTGGTACTGTGTTGCAGGTAGTCTCAACTGGTACTGTGTGAGGTAGTCTCACTGGTACTGTTTTGCAGGTAGTCTCAACGGTACTGTGTTGAGGTAGTCTTAACTGGTCTGTGTTGAGGTAGTCTCAACTGGTACTGTGTTGCAGGTAGTCTCAATGGTTTACTGTGTTGCAGGTTGTCTCAATTTGGTACTGTGTTGCAGGTAGTTCAAGGTACTGTGTTGAGGTAGTCTCAACTGGTCTGTGTTGCAGGTAGTCTCAACTGGTCTGTGTTGAGGTAGTCTCAACTGGTACTGTGTTGCAGGTGTCTAAACTGGTACTTTTGTTGCAGGTAGTCTCAATGGTACTGTGTTGCAGGTAGTCTTCAACTGGTCTGTGTTGAGGTAGTCTCAACTGGTACTGTGTTGCAGGTAGTCTCAACTGGTACTGTGTTGCAGGTAGTCTCAACTGGTACTGTGTTGCAGGTAGTCTCAACTGGTACTGTGTTGCAGGTAGTCTCAACTGGTACTGGTGTTGCAGGTGTCTCAACGGGTTTACTGTGTTGCAGGTAGTCTCAACTGGTACTGTGTTGCAGGTAGTCTCAACTGGTACTGTGTTGCAGGTAGTCTCAACTGGTACTGTGTTGCAGGTAGTCTCAACTGGTACTTGTATATTGTTGAAGGTTCAGGAATAAAATAGTGTAGTTTAAAAGATTGTTTTGCTCTGTAAGTCTGTATCTACACCCGTGGCGCTCAGAGTGCTATGGATCCATGGTGCTTCCCTAACTGCAATTATTCGTGGCACCGGCAGGACGTGGAGAGTTCCAGGATGCCTGTGGAGTTGTACTATTTCCCAGCGTCACCGCCCTGCAGGTCGGTCATGCTCACAGCCAAGGCCGTAGACCTAAAACTCACCCTGAAGGAGGTAAATATGCAGGCTGGGGAACACTTGAAGCCAGAGTTCGTGGCCATCAACCCCCAGCACAGCATCCCTACCCTGGTGGACGGCAACATCAAGCTCTGGGAGAGGTGGGTTATATATTTTTCCCTTCCTCCTCCTCCCTGCCTCCGCGGATCATCGCCCCCGCGGCTCGGTCTTCCTCCAGAATAAATAAATAACTGGTAACATCATAGTTAATAATTTTAACATTAGGAGCATTACCAATTAATATTGACAGTCTTGTAAATTAATATTTTTTTAATTGACTGTTTTAAGTCTTATTAACTAGACGTCAGTGTGTGTAGTCAGTATCAGAAGATCAGTGAAGCAATAATGTGGTGGTGGTGGTGGTGGTGGTGGTGGTGGTGGTGGTGGTGGTGGTAGTAGTAGTAGTAGTGGTAGTTGGTGGGTGGGTGATTGGTTCGGTGGTTTGTGGTGGTAGTTGTAAATAGTGGGAGTAGTGGTGGTGGTACTAACGGTAGTAGTAATGGTTGTAGTACTGGTGGTAGTAATGGTAGTTGTGGTGGTAGCAATGGTAGTGGTGATAGTAGTGGTAGTATGGTAGTAGTGGTGGTAGCATTGGTAGTGGTGATAGTAGTGGTAGTATGGTGTAGTGGTATGGTTGCGTAGTAGTTGGTGGTAGTAATGGTAGTAGTGGTAATAATGGTAGTGGTGATAGTGGTAGTAAAGGTAGTAGTGGTTGTAATAGTGGTGGTAGTAGTGGTGACAGTAGTGGTAGTAAAGGTAGTAGTGGTTGTAATGGTGGTAGTAATGGTAGTAGTGGTAGCAATAGTAGTAGTTGTTGTAGTGGTAGTGTTAGTAATGGTGTAGTGGGTAGAATGTAGCAACACTTTTTTAACTTAGGATAATATACATTTTGAAGTATTTTTAACGTGGCTTCTGACTTACTGTATTTCGTCTTGTTGTGTAACCTTCGTCCCTCGGTAGCCGCGCTATCTGCTCTTACCTGGCAACTCAGTATGGAAAGGACGACTCTCTCTACCCCAACAACCCGAAGGCCAGGTGCCTGGTCGATGCCAGGCTCTACTTCGACATGGGCACACTATACCAGCGCTGGGCAGACTACGCTGTAAGTCACAGCTGTTATATTATTGGTTTACAATAACACATTACCAACACTTAAGTAACTTATCAACCCTTTCAGCCATTATAACAGTTTTCAGTCCAGTACAGGAGAACATAACACTAGACACGGGAAAGCTATGATTTCGACCCCTGCAAGCACAATTAGGAGAGTACAGACTGGTCACGGCGTGGTCACAGACCGGACCAAGGGGGCGTTGACCCCCGAAACCTTCTCCAGGTATATATTATTATGATCAAGGGGGAAGCGCTAAACCCGGAGGATTATACAGCGCCTGGGGAAGGGATGTGGAAGGCATTCAGGCTTAATTCGAGGAACTGGAGCACAGAATCCGATTTCCTAAATCAAGAGCCCCTCACCAACATCAAGGAACCTTCCTTGAGGGGTCCAGGTATACAGCAGCAGTAGTAATAGTGGTTGTCAAATTTTCGGATTATTGTTGAATTTCTGGTGAGCAATAAACCCCCATGGGCCATACAAGGGTCGTGTAATATAGAATCCGATATGATCCTATATAGGTATAACAGTGTCTATACAGACGTTATATACAACGTGAACAATTTTCAGTTACTTTGCACGACTGATCACCTACTATTCCCACGTGCAGGTGGATCTACTTTCTGAGGTTGGACTGGCACCGAGGCTGTGTAGGTCACAACACTGACATAAATATATAAAACACAAAGATAAATTTAACAAACGATAAAAATAAAGAACAAAACCTTCGAATAAATAAAAGCCAATTATACCAAGTTTTAAGTAACTAGCATCACTTGGTTAAAAGCTCTCGCTTCACACGGTGAGGGTTCGGATGCAATTCCTGCGGGGGGTTTGAAACATTGGGCGTGTTTCCTTACACCCGGGTTTTCTATGTTCCCCATCAGTAAAATGAGTACTTGGGTGTTAGTCGACTGGTGTGGTCGCATCCTGGGACAAAACTGACCTAATTTGCCCGAAATGCTCTACATAACGGGCTTTTATATAGCAGAATTTCAGTGATGCCAGCTAAGACTATACCTTGTACATGTACTAGTAAATAAAGATATATTTTAGTATATTAAAACCCTATGGATGGCAGCAGCAGTGGAGAGGTTTCACTGAGGTGATCAGTTTTTTCAGCCTTTTATAGGTGGTGGGGCAATCTCTGTCTAAGCAACTGTCTTAGTTTTGAGTGTAATAATAATAATACAGTCCCTAAGTGCTAAACCTACAAGGGTCATACAATAGAAGGGATTGTACAAATCAGTTTTTCTCTCACTTTTAGTACCCAGTTTTCCATGGGGAGAAACCAGAGGAGTCCAAGCTGAGCAAGGTGAAGGAGGCACTGGGGTGGCTGAATCTCTTCCTGACTGACTTCACCTACGCTGCCGGGAACAAGATTACTATAGCTGACATGTGTCTGGTGGCGACGGTGTCGACGATAGAGGCGGCAGGCGTGGAGCTGGACGAGTACACGCGCATCCAACGTTGGCTCAAGAAATGCAAGACACAGATGCCAGGCTACAAGGAAGCCAATGGTGATGGGGCACAGGCCATCGGGGAGCTCTTAAAGCCCAAGTTACAGAATAAGACAGAGTGACTGTGGTGTTCCTTGGTCGTTCACGCCCACAGTGTGTATGGGCACTTGCCCAAAACCACAGTGTGCATGGGCGTTCGCCCACGCCCAGTGTGTATGGGCGCGTACCCACACCCACAGTGTGTGTGTGTGTGGACGCTCGCTCAGATCATGCTCCCATTACTTTATAAAGGGCTCAATAAAAAAGTATTAACATTTTCATTTATTTTACAAACTAATAATAAATTAATTTGAGCATTAAACCTGTAACGGTGAAGACTGCAGTCTCAAGGAGCGTGGCTGACGCTGACAGTTTACTGTTATAATCAAGGGGGGAAGCACTAAACCCGTAGGATATACATCACCTGTGGGGGGATGTGGAAGGTATTCAGTTTAATTCAGGGAACTGGAGCACATATCCAATTCCCTAGATCAAGACCCTCACTAGCATCAAGGAACCTTCCTTGAGGGGACACTTGAGAGAGGCTACACACAAGCCAGTCTCAGATTTGTTGTCCTTCTTGTCATACTGGGGGGTAGGAATTATAATCAAAAAGCTCTAAACCCACAAGGGTCATACAACACTGTCGGGGTAGGAATGTGTTCCCTAATTACCCCCTCTTAATGGCTACTTAAATATTTCCCACCTCTGAAGAGCTTTTGGTTTTAAGGACCGACCAAAGAAATTACCCCCAACCCCTCTTCCTTATCTCATCCCTTCTTTCCTCTCCTCTTCCCTTTTCCCACTTTTTGGGCCC